CCTCAGCCCAGCCTGCACCCTCTCCAATCCGGGACACCTCGGGGGATGTCCAACTGCCGGTTTAGGCCTGATCCTGAGGACATCCCTCAGGATTGGGATATCCCTCTCACAATCCAGGACCGCTGGCTCCTAACTGCTCACCTGCCTGCCTGCTTGATCGCCCCCAGTGGCCCCCCTGCCAGCCTGATCACCCCTAACCACCTCTGCCTGCCAGCTTGGTCGCCCCCAACTGCCCCCCCTGCTGGCCTGGTCACCCCCAACTGACCCCCATGCTGGCCTGGTCGCCCCACACAGCTTGCCGTTTGATCATTTGGTCGTCCCTCACTAACCCCCTACCGGCCTGGTCACCCCACGCAGCCTGCTGCTCAGTCATTTGGTCGTCCCTCACTAACCCCCCTGCCATCCTGGTCGCCCCACTCAGCCTGTTTGGTCATCCATTCGGTTGCAATGGCCCCTGGCTCTTTATATATATAGATAGCGTTTAATTTTAACATTTTTACATGATTTTATAAATGACAACTATTTTTTAATTTACAGTTTATTACAAATCCATTGAATGTTCTGGAATGTATGGAGTGAGACAGCAAGATCAAGAAAAATGGTTGAACAACAAAAGTTAGGAGTAAGTACAATCTGAATTTATAATTTATTTAGAAAACACTCATTTTCTTTGCTTTTTAATTTTTTGAGGTGTTTTTGGCCTCTTCTTTTTGAAATTTTTCTTTTTCCTGATGATACTTTTCACGTCTCTGTTGTGTAGCCAGTCATCACGTTCCGCCTCCCACCTAAGCTGTTTGAGACCTTTGGGGGAGAAGGAAGATGAGCACACCCACTGTAGACTTTTGGAGGCCCCACAGAACATCCTACTGAGTAACAGGAGCTTCTGGTCTGCCAGCGTCTACAGTTGTTTCCCAACCACAATGCAAATCCCCTGCTTATTTGTTACTTTCCTTCTGTATTTAATGTCAAAGATTACCATTTTATTTATAAAAGACCAGGTCAGGGAAGGAACAAATGCTCTCAAGATTTTATTTCCCCTGAACCCCTTTTACTGGCAAAAAACAGAAGCCAGTAACTATGAATATCAGAAAAAATTAAAATGTCTAAAAACCATTTATAAAGTCACTTAGCAGAAAAATTCAAGTTACTTACTTGCATTATCTTTGTTAGCCATGGCATTCATGCCAATGTTGTCAAACTTGGATCCCATATTTTCATCCAATAGGTGGCCAAACTTAAAAAAAAGAAAGGGTGGGAGAATACATTTATCAGAAAACTTAAAACAATGTTGAATAGCTAACTTCTCAAAGTAGTACATTACCCTTTACCTCTTCAGCAGATACAAATAGGTTGGAGTCACTGAGATTTCTTTTCTTTTTTTTCCTGGGTCCTAAAAGAAGTATAAACCTAGATTATTAAATTGTAAATTCCCATGATTTTGGAAAAATAGAAATCTTTCAACACGACTTTGTTAAAAAAAATTTATATTGGGGATAAAGTACAAAATTTGCAATTATTTTCTAACACCATTAGGTAGCTGGTACTTAGACAGAAATGTATTTAAGAAAAAGTATCCTAATAGAATTGTTCAGATGATTTTATGTCTTCTTGCCTTTGAGATTTGGCCACTGATCACAGTTTATCCTATTTCATTGTATCAGGCACGATTAAATTTCCAAAGTTGACATGGATAGATTTTGGAATATTTAAGGCAAAATGTAAATTCTAATTAAGCCAGAGGTTTTATTCTTTGGACTGTGAAGAAATTTATGGAAGGTATGTTTATTATGTTATAAAGTTTTGTTTACACCACTCAAAATAAAGTGGTTCTCCTTTAAAAAAAAACAAACCTATAATTCTGGATATGTAAACTTTTCAAAATAGATAAAAAAGTAAAACATCTATTTTTAATACTACAATTTGCATCTCTGACAGCAATGTCTCTGGCACTACTAGAGTCACTTTTTAAAAAAAGCTGTACTAAGGAATAAAATTTGTCATAAAATTCAGCTGTTGTAAGTATAATTCAATACTTTTCAATTAATTTACAGAGTTGTTCAGCTGTTATCACAATGCAATTTTAGAATATTCCCATCAACTCCAAAAGATCCCTAGTGTCCATTTATAGTAACATGATCCCTCCCATGAAGGCTTTGCCTTTTCTGGATCTATTGATCGATCTATCTATCTATGTATCTATCTAACCCTAATATGCAAATAGACTGAAATGTGGAACAACCAATCGCTATGACGTGTGCTGACCACCAGGGGGCGCATGTGGAACATGGCAGGCGTCCGCAGCAGGTGGGATGGTGGAGCAGGTGAGTGGGAGTGCCAGATCAAGGTGGGGCGCTGGTTGCTGTCATCAGGGCAAGCCTCTGGTGGTTACTGAATTCTTTGCTCCCGTGCGCTGCGGTCCTGCCAGGCACTCGCACCCACTGCCAGTGCCGGAGCCGCTGCTCACATCCACTGCTAGTACCAACTCTGCTCTTACCTGCTGCTGGCCCTGATCATGCCTGAGGGCTTCTCCACTGTGCCTTGCTCCTGAGGGGTGATTGGGGCAGTAGCCGCCGCTCGTACCTGCTGCTGGCGCCGGCCCCAATCACTCCGTGCTGTCAGCGGGTGTGAGTGCGGTGGGCACTGTCAGCACGTGGTAGTGGCAGGAATGGGGCTGCCGGCAGAGGGGCCGGGGGCTGAGGTGGGAGAGGCCGGGCGGGGGCATGGAGGATGGGCAGAGAACCAGCCCTGTGCCCACCACAGCCTCGTGGCCCACAACTGTGGCGCATGAGTTCATACATTGGGCCCCTAGTTTTATGTAAGTGGTTTTCTGTAACTGGCTTCTTTCCTTTTATCATAACTATTTTGAAGCTCATCCATATTACAGCATGTACCACCACTCCATTCCATTTTACTGCTGAATAATATTCCATTACATGGCTATACCATATTTTACTATCTAATCATTAGTCAATAGACATTGGGCTGTTTCCACTTTTTGGCTATTATGAATAATGCCACTATGAACAATTGTGTACAAGTCTTTATGTGAATATACCAGAGCCACTTTTGATAAAATAGTTTCTAGAGCATTTCATCTTAATTCTTATCAAAGTGAAATGTATGTTATATTATTTAAGAATTGTTCACAATACTATTATTGAATATTTTATCTTAGGCTAAAATGCTCATTAGCATAGGATTAGGAAAGTTTTGTTTTTCATTCATCTTATAGGTACAGAGCTATAACTTCAATTATGCTGCAAGGTTTGATTATCCTTAAGAATATCCAACATTTGTAAATTAAGGTAGAGCCCTTAGGATCAATTAATAAGTCTGAAATTTCTTTGCTTCTTGTTTTGTTTTAATCAATTCTACTAGGTACACTTTAATCGGCATCCAAAACCATTAAGATTTTAGATTGTCTCAGACTATTGTCTTCTGAAAACAGTACTGATCATTAAAAAAATAAGGTTAATGAGCCCTGACCAGTTTGGCTCAGTGGATAGAGCGTTGGCTTGCAGACTGAAGGGCCCCAGGTTCGATTCTGGTCAAGGGCATGTACCTTGGTTGCGGGCACATCCCCAGTAGGGGGTGTGCAGGAGGCAACTGATTGATGTTTCTCTCTCATCGATGTTTCTAACTCTATCCCTCTCCCTTCCTCTCTGTAAAAAATCAATAAAAGATATTTAAAAAATATAAATAAGGTTACTGAGAGAGTATTTTTTTAATGACAGGCTCAGTAGGACTTGTTTTAAAGCAACATTTATTTCCTGTGAGATGATTTTGAGGAAAACTTTGCCTTATATTTGAGCATTTGCTACTATTAACATGTGACCTTACAGCACTCAGTTGAAAACAAAGTGTGGAAGATATTAAAATTTAAATATGTACCAGGTAAATCAAGCTAATTAACAGGACTGATTGTTAGCAGTATTTGAAAGAGCTGATAGAAATTTTGTAGGCATAAAAAATCTGAGACTACTACCAATATATAGTTTTTACTACTTTTTATATTTATTGTCAAAATATTTAATGTCAAAGTTTTAAGTATTTCTTAATTTTAATAAAATATTGTCAAGTGTTTTTAACTTTGCAAATCTATTTCTATTCATCAGTACTAGTAAGCAGAAGTTAGAGAGGCAAAGCATGAAAAAAAGCACAAGTCTGTGTTTTCTTTTTTAAGATTTTTAGTTGACTTTTAGAGTGAGAGGAAGTGAAAGGGAGAGAAATATGGATGTGAGAGTAAAACATCAATCAGCTGCCTCCTGCATGCCTCCTACCAGGCATCGAGCCGGCTCTGACCAGAAATCAAAATGGCAACCTTTTGGTGCAACCAACTGAGCCACACCAGCCAGGGCACTTGTGTACTTATCCACAGAATTATGGGATAAAATATTTATTATATGATTGCTGTCTATATTTTTATCAAAAACTTAAGGCTGTCACAGGATAATAGTACTTTTTTCTTTTATTAGTACCTTACAAGTGCTACTTTAAAATAATGTTATGATATACTTGAAAGAATTCCTCTGTTTTATATAAGATATTTGTGAGGTTAGAATTATTTTGACATGGCAGCAAGATGGCAGATCTCAAAAAAGGAAAATAAAATTAATAAAGAGCATGGATTTTCAGAAGGGTCAAATGGCAAAGAATAAGATTTAGTTGAGAAAAAGCAAAAGGTATCTATGGAAAACCAGGGCTTACATATAATTGAATGATTTAAACAGAAATGATCTAGAGATATTTAGATGTAAGAGGAAAGAATTCAGGAAGAAAAAAATAATTAAAGCTGTATGTGGGAAATAACAATTTTCACATAAAACTGTTATTATCCATTATAAAAACAAACTAATTGTACTAACCAGCAATTTAGAAAAGTTAATTTCCCAAAAGAATAATGAATAATAACTTTCATTTGCACACTGCTTAGGTTTCAAAGGGACTAAATGCATTTTCTTACCTTGAAATGATTCAGCAAAGTCAAAATCATTTGCACTTTTCCTCTTGCTTTTATTAGAATTGACTTTGGAGCTGACTTCATCATTAAGGTCTGTTACCAAAAAAGGTGCCATTAAGTAATTTAAAAGCAATAGGACTGCTATAGGGTTATGCTAAATGATAAATATTTATTAACTTTTAGAAAACACTAATTACTAGGTATTTTAACATTAAAAAGAGCAACTGGTGATTTGGAGGGGGGGGAGGTGGAAGAGGGATAAATGGTGTTGGAAAAATAAAATTTTAAAAAGGAAGCAACACAACAGCTCAACAGGTATATCACAGATATGCTGAGGAAGAAAGGAAGATCTAGTTTGTTTCTGTCTTTAATTTTTAAAATGCTTACCTTGAATGCCCTCACTCTCATCATCCAACACATCCATGAATGTTCCTCCATCTTCATCAATTTCAGTAAATTCTTCATTCATACTTCCTAAAGAAACTTCATCATCATCTAAGTTATCAAAGTCATCATCACTATCTTCTGAATCTTCATCTTCTGGCTCACCCTTCGCTCCTTTTGTTTTCTTTTTCATGTTGCTGAAGAAAAACAACAACTTGTAATGTAAAAGAGGACGGTTTTCTAAAACATGGCTTGGTGCCTACCAGAGGTATTAGGCTATTAACAGGCTTAAAGGAGAATTAAAGAAGGCTCGGAGCCTTTATTTAATATATTAATATGCATTATAAAAGGTCCAGAATGAAAGCACTGGATCCATTTCCCAAGTTTATTAATACCTCTACTGTTCTGAGGGACCATTGGGAAATGCTGAGAAAACAGTTAAAAAAATATTGAAGAAATGTATTTTACCCAGCAAAATCAAGATCATCCTTTCCAGAGGTGAAACAGTTATCATCTTCAAATGTATCTGCCAGATAACAACATACAAAGTGTGAGATATAACAAAGAACAACAAAGTTGACATGTCTTATTTCTGAATCAATTAACAGTCATGATTTTTCTGTTTATGACAAAAACCAAAATAAACCTGTGAATATTCTGGCCTTACTTAAATTCCTCAATTAAAATGGGTTCCAGTTAATTTCAGCTTCTTTCTACAGTTTTATAAGAAGGTAAATATCAAA